CATTAAAATATTTATGTTAAGTAAAGGTTACTATTTTGTTTTAAAATATTATTGTATTTTTAAATGTTATTGAATTTTAATGTTTTTTTTCATTTTCTTTTTGGGGTTCTCAGTATTTTAAATAGCATACAGATGTCTTGAGTCCAGGAAACTAGAACTTCTGTCCTGGAGTGTGGCACTTGGGAACCAAATGCTTTGTTTTGACTGTCACTTTTACTTGCTGTCGGTATGAGCATGGGCAGCTTTCTGACCCTTCTCCTGTGGCCGCTTAGGTGTTAGCTATTGTCACTGTATTCCGGTGTCACCATTGGTGTCATCATCACTAGCTTCGCCCCTGGGGGACATAGGTTATTTAGGGACACAGCTACAAGGAGTCAGGGGAGTGGGTTATTATTCTCTGAAGCCAGCCTCCATGCCGGGTCCCACTCCCCAGTGTGTGTGTCACGATGTGCGGATGTGTGAGGGAGTGACAAAGAGGAGAAATGTTCCACAGCCCACACCCTCATTGTCAGAGGCATCCGATCAAAGCACTGGAAAAAGTCCTAGTGGCCACGTTCCAGCACAAGTTCCAAGCAGACCCAAGGCCAGAGTGATGGGTCACAAACACGGAGCCCCAGGGAGCAAGCAACTGTCCCATCCGGTGGCAGGACTGCCCCCCGCTTGGTGGGTGGATTCCTCCCTCCGCAGGTGAAGCCCCTGTGTCCTCTGAAAGGAAGGGCTGATCCAGCACCAGCTGGGGCCACTCCATTCCTGGGGCACTGGCTGAGCTGGTCTCCAGCAGGGCAGCAAGGCTGCTCCAGAAGCCTCCAGGGGCTCTGGGGAGCGGGTAAGCCAGCCCAGGGCTGCGTTGCGAGGCGTGGAGGTACACTTTTGTGTCATCTAACACCAGTCACAGGATGCCTTTGTGTCATTCAGGCAAAACGCCGTGCGGTGAATCTGGACCCACCCAAACTGTACCAAGCACACAGCTGCCCATGGCTCCCAAGTCCCAGGCTTCTACTTTGCCGGGGAAAAGCTAAAACGAACCCCTGTCTGTGACCAGGCTCCTTGGCTCAGTACCCACAGCAACCAGAAACACACTCCTTTCAAGACACCCGGGCATGCAGGCCTCAACTGGAGTTTTGACAGATGTTACAGAGATGGAGAGAGAGTGGGGCAGGCAAGGTGCCAGCCTCCAGGAGAAGCTGCGACGCCATCTCAAGCCTGAGCCAGCGCTCGCCTCCGTCCATGAGCCAGACAGTCCCGTGGGGTCAGGGAGGAGCTCGGCGCTGCACACAGCCAGTGCCCAGGGCCACCAGGTTTGGGAGAAACTCCACTCCGCCCAGCCCTGGTGGAGTGCCTGCTCCAAAGCAGCCTGGCGGAGCAGAAGGGGTTTGGGACCAGTGAAGGGTGGCCTGGGCAGGTCATGCAGCCTCTCTGCCCTGGTGCCCTTCCTGGCTGTGGGTGGTAAATGCTGAGGAGGATAAGGGTGTCCGGCAGGGGTATGAGCCCGTCTACACTGCCGCCATTCTGGCTGGTTACCGCAGTCGGACTCTGTGTGGGCGCCCGGCCGTGAGGAACACAACCTAGACTGTTTCCCCTGGGACCACGGGACACCTTGGTTCATCTCGGGGGCCCTGACTTCCTTCCTGTGCTGAGGGTCAGGCTAAGCAGTGTGGTTCCCCCTCACCTGGCTGTTAGAGGACCGCAGGAGGAGGGGGAGGCCAAGAAACCACGCAGCCGCCGGTGCAGAAGGTAAAGTGACCGCAGCAGCACTGACCAGCCCCGCTCGGCGCTGTGTCTCACCAAACACAGGCTCAGGGGCTCCGCACGCGTCACCTGATTTAGTTAATTTCAGTCTTCCTGTAACAGTGCTGCCAGGTGGAAGATAAACCCTGTTTACTGTTCCTATTTTGTAGTCACTGAGGTGTGGAGAGGTTAAGTAACTGGCCCAAGGTCACAGACACCCTCAAAGGGAAGACCTGAGATTCAAACCCAGCCGAAGTCCAAACCTGGCCAATCAGGGCCCCAGTGTGTGTCTCCAGGCGGTGTATGATTGCTATTTCTAAGCTTCTCTCCCCGGAGGGGGGCAGTGACCCACTCAGAAAGCACCAGGTGGGGTTGTAAAGTCGTGGTAATGGCTCCGCAAAGCCAGCTGCTAAGTAGTGTCCCCACTTCTGAACACGCCGCAAGTACCTCAGGAGCACAGGGCTTACACCCACGAGCAAACACACCCACGGGTCCCGCTTAGAGGTCAGCACGGGAACAAGACGCCATCAACAAAAGCAATTATGGACTCACGTTGTGTGGGGAGAGAGAGTTCCCCACTGGCCTAAGTGACAGGAGGATGTCCTTAGGGTAACCCGGCGGTGACCGTCATGCTTCACCTCTTTTCCTTCCACGCACACACATGTTAAGTACTGCTCACACATGTGACACACTCCTGTGTGGCTGCCCAGACTTTGACAAGACCCATCCTCAAATTTTTGTGGAAAATTATGAATCATCTATTTTTAGATGATTTATGGATGCCTCGTACAGGCATTTAGGTCATTAAATTATCCAGTTAAAACAGCCCCAGAAAAGTTTATTTTCCAATAAAGTTCCATTAAATTCAACAGATATACTGTCTTTTGCGTCCAACACAGTAGCCATTAGCCACGTGTGGCTGCTTCAATTTACATTTAACAGTTTGGTTCTCCAGCTGCTCTACCCATGTTTTGTGAGCTCAGTAAAGCCGCAAGCGGGTGAGGTGGATTCCAATCCATGCGGATTCCGACACGTGTCCATCGCTGCAGGGTGTTGTGCTGGGCACCACTGCCAAGCTGTGGTGCCAGTGAGGCTTTGGGGACAGCAGCCTTCCCTTCCCATGCCCGGCGCCAGGGGCTTCGAGGGGCTGCAGGGAGCACGGCTCATCTCAGAGAGCAGAGACCAGTGGGAAGACAGCTTGGGGACCTGCCTCGGCGGGCAGGGTAGAAGGTACCAGAGAAAGCTCCGTGCACATGAACAGCAGCTGTTGTAGTTTGGGGTTTTCACATGGGGGACAATATAATACAGGACACATATAAGATTATTTGTAATAGTCACCCAAAGAATCATATACAAAAAGATAGTGCAGGAAATCTGTCCACACACTAAAGACTAAAGAATCCAGCTAAGGGCCTGGATCCCACAGCAATGTCCTGCATGAGTCCAGCTGAAGACCTAGAGCCCATAACAATGCCGCCCATGAGTCCAACTGGAGGCTGAGAGCCCATGACAATGCCTCATCCTGTTTCACGGATCTGCGCCGGGAAAGCCCAAAGGTCAGTGGTGGAATGTAGGAAGTCTGTGCCAGTGGGATGAAAGATCTGTGCCAGCTGGCTGACGGATCTGGACTGGAGCCCTGGCAGTGCTCAAAGTAAGAACCAGAGCTCCCCAGAAAAGTACCACAGCCATCCTCAGCCACAGTGGTGGTCCCAGGCTCCTCCGATGATCAGGACAGCTGAGTCCCCATCAGAAAAGCCAACGCAACAAGCTCCTCCAGGAGACTAAGCTGTGCACCTTCTTCCCCTCTGGAGCCAGGAAGCAGAGCCAGGAAGTGATTCCCAGAGTGAGCACCAGAGCTCCCCCAAAGTGAACCAAAGCCATTCTCAGCGACAACAAGGTCCCGAGCTTCTCCTTCAAAAACAGCCAAGTTCATCAGGAAGGCGAGCATGACAAGCTCCTCCAGCAGAATAGCCCAGGAGAACCAACAGCTCCCGACAGCTTCCCTTCTCCTTCTCCAGTTCTGCCTGTTATGCTGCTGGCAACAGCCCTCCGGTGGGCCTCCCACACCCAGCACCACGCTGGTTAAATTCGGCTGGGTGTTACAAGTTGACCACCAGTTGTCAATCCACCGCAGCAGCCCAAGTTTTCTTTTTTAATATTGAACTTAATTTTGCACACATAAATTATTTTCTCTGACTGGATTCCACAACTACTATGTAATGATTTTTTTAACACTACTTCTTCAAGAATGAGGTGAAGTATAACTTATTTCATTAGGGAATGTTTAATACAACAGATCTCAGAAGCAACATGGGAAACGTAAAAACAGTACGCTTCTGCTTTTAAGAGATTCTGAAATAAGGATAGAAATCTGGACAGTAGGTGCTTGCAGGAGGGTGGGAGGTGGCGTTTGGGAGCAGGGCCAGCCAAAAAGGAAGTCAGGCATGGCTTCTGGGTTGTCCCTGTCCCGCTGAGGCAGGGCTTTGGTTACAAGTGTGCAAGCATGTTTCAGCGCCCTGGACTGGTTGAAGTTGTGTACGTTGCACAGAGTGTAATTAAAAGTATAATCGCATTGAATGGATGAGAGACAGGTAGATTGTAGGTTGATGACAGATGACATACGGTGCAGACATGAAAACAAGTGCGCACCCTAGTGCATTAGGATGAGCCCAGTGACGTCATTGAAACGTTCACCCTCACTATGCACACCCTGCCTTACCACCCTGACGTCATCCGCTGGGAGCGTCAGGCCCCCTTCCTGGTCCTGGGCCTTGTGGACAGATGCATATGGCTGCTGCTCTTCCCAGCTTGTGACGCTTTCTTTCTCATCAAAAGTGGACACACAGGAAGGATCTTTGCAGGTTAAGAGCAGTGTTGCTATTCCGGGAGGGAAAGATTTGAAACGAATTTCAACTTTTTTCTCCTCTTCACTGTGTTGTATTTGCAACCAGGAATGTGGGTTAATTTTTTTAATCTGAAGGACAAAACCACATTTGTTCTTGGCTTAGAATGTGCATTTACCCATGGGAGCCATGGAGCAGATTGCAGACCTTGGGGTTTGTATTCTGCTTAGTAACAAAGTTTCCTCCACGCAGTAGCCCCCAGGTGATGGCCCCAAGCCATGGTAAATGCTTTCACTCAGGCCTGGTCTGTCTCCCCATGTGTCCCCTGTCCTCCTCCAGGGGCCCGGGGACATGCTAGAGGCTGGAGTGGACTGGAGTAGTTCAGAGGTCCTGTCCCAGTCTCACCTGCCTCCTTGCCCTCCTGTGCAGATTCTTACCTGACCCTGGATGAACCCATGAATAACATCACCACGTCTCTGGGGCAGACGGCAGAGCTGCACTGCAGGGTCTCCGGGAACCCACCTCCCTCCATCCGCTGGTTCAAAAACGATGCGCCCGTGGTCCAGGAGCCCCGGAGAATCTCCTTCCGGGCGACCAGCTACGGCTCCCGGCTGCGGATCCGAAACCTCGACACCACCGACACCGGCTACTTCCAGTGTGTGGCCACCAATGGCAAGAAGGTGGTTTCTACCACTGGCGTCCTGTTTGTCAAGTTCGGTAAGCAGCCCTCCTGGGGCGGCGCTGGCCTGCAGCCCCGTGTGGTTGGAGGACCAGGATCCTGGCGGGAAACGAGCGCTTTGTGGGAAGGCACTCAGTGTCCACACTCCAAAGGGGGTGCAACCATGCCCACTGTGCAAGTGAGTAAGCTCCGCCGTGGTCAGTGGCCATGGCAGGGGTGGCCAAGCAGGAAAGGGCAGAGCAGGAGGAGTCCAGATCTGCCCACCCCACCGCCCTGACTCCAATCGTCATGCCCCGAGCCCTCCACTCCCTGCCTGAGGCAGCACGCATCCCCGCTCTTGGAGCAGCCCCGGGGACTGGAAGCCCCGCTCCCTGCTGCCAGCCTCCTATTCACAGCTTCCTGCAGAGTCTGAGGATGCACTCTGGTGGCTCGTGTGTCAGTCTCTGTCCTACCACTTTGCAGCCCCTGACCTGGGGGTATAACTGGCCCCCACATTCTCACCAGTCTGCTGTGGGTCATGGCGGGGGGATGGCTAGAACAAAACAGTAAATGCCAGAAAAATAAATACCACCTCTGGGCAGCGGAGAGCCTGACTTGTGCTTGGTTGTGTGCACCCAGCTCCTCACACTGATGGCTTTCATTATTTTCTTTCTTTTCTTCAGGTCCTCCTCCCACAGCAAGTCCGGGATCCTCGTAAGTACTTTGAGGCTCCTTTCTTATCATTCTGCAGTGCTTCTCCACAGGTTTCCAGGGCAAAGGCAAAGTTGTCCTGTGCTTGGGTCAAAGCGCCGCATTTCTAGACGTTGAGACATCCCGTTCGGTCTCTGATAGGAGCAGTCCCAGGAGACCGGCATAGGCAGTAATCTCGTGCGTGGTAATGTTGACTCTGAATGATCAAAGCAGAATTCTTCTTGCATTTACTATTTTAGAGCCAATCGACATTTAGTGGCAACAGTGGATTTGGTCAAATCAAACCAAAAAAATGATGGTGTGCGGGGAGAAACCTTTGCTTGAAGCAAATAAGGTCTGTTTTCTATTCTGCAAGCGTTTTGATGCTTTAAGTTATTGAGCAGCCCTGCAACTGGGTGATCTGTTTTCTTTTTTCTTCCCTTCGAAGAATTCAGAGGCAGAAACTCTAACTCAGAGAGGAGAGGAGAGCCCGGGGCTCGGCCTGAGAGTCCCAGGGCAGGTGGAGTCCTTCCGAGGCCCTGGCTAATGGAGTCTGAAGATTGAGTGTCTTTAAATGACACTATTGTTGATGCGTTTATTATTCTGGCTAAGGGAGTTTCGTCTTTCACTCTAAAAGTATCCACTTGGGGCATTTTTCTTTATGTATATTTTTATGTGGGGAGAAAGACCCATTTATTCAACCCTGTGCACTGCAGGGAAATATGCTTGTGTTCTGTAGACTTCGGCAGCAGAATTCCTCGGGTCGGGAGCATCTGGCCTGGGCCACGCCCACGACAAACCTGGGCACCCCTTTCTCGCTCTGATCCCCTCTGAGCTACTAAATGGGGTGTTTCCATACCCTGGGGTTTCCCTCCAGGCCCAGAGCCCCACAGTCTCATCAATAAAGCAGGTAATGGGTAAAAATAAACACGGCACCTCGGCCCCCCTCCTGCTGTTCTATCAGCCTGATAAAGGTGAACGGGAAAGAGTTTCAAATCTCCCGAGTGCCGATTGCCTTCAGCTTGCCAGCGTCGCTTGGTACCGGAATAGGTCAGGACTTTGGTCCCTCTGCCTTGCACTTCTCTAAGCTAATTTTTTTATAATGGCCTTGCTATTGGTTTTATGTGGAATCCTTTTGAAGTCTTATTTAAACAAAGATTAAAACTTTTGTTCCTTGTTGTAAAAATGCTTCCAGCCCGGCACCTTATTTATTCCTATTAATCTGTGTTTCAAATGTGACTGGTAATCTCCCTGGCGGGTTGATGAATGCGGTTCACTAATCTGCCGTTACGATTAAGCCTTGGGCTGTTGACTTTCTGCCTGCATCAGAGAGTTAGCTTTTTATAGTCAAAAGTGTTTTTTCAACACTTATATGTACCTACTGCTTGAAATGTTTGTCCTCTGCTGGAGTCTGTTGAATCCACTCTACGTCTCTAGTGGTTTTTCATGTTACACGAAGCTAGTGCCGCAATTTCGTGAGCTGACAGCCAGGAAGAGGGTGTGCATGTTTCTTAAAGACACCCAACGACAACCAAGTCTGTCAGCGTGAGACGCCTGTCTTGAGTCTGCTGCCCAACTATGCACCGGGGCCTCAGTGTGTAGCTGCTGCTTGTTTGGAGGGATGAAGACTAAAATGCAGTCTCAGTTGGAAATCCCACCAGGCTTCAGTTCAGTCTGTCTGTGTTGGCATTTTGAGGCTCTTTGCTTCTTTGCTTGGAAATCTGGGATGGACCCTGCGTGTCTTATCTCTGGCCCGCAGCGCTTACCCTGTCTCTGAGAGTCCCTAGTCCTTAAATCAGCCACAGACAGAATGCTGGCTCCTGTACCAGTCCTCGGAGCCTGCTAGGCAGCTGAACCTTGCTGCAGGGGGTGCTGTGGAGAGAAGTCCTCCCTCTGAAGGGCTTTTGTTCCACTATCCACGACCTTTACCAAAACAAGAGTGAAGTACAGTAATGAACTACTGTCTGAGTAGTTTAGAGTCACTGAAAAATAAAATCCAAGGGACATGCATAGCACTGTCTTAGTGCTGGGATAGCAGAACAGTGAAACATTAGGAGGTCTGTGAGTCCTGGTGACAGAGCTGTGGCCCAGGAAGGCTCCTGTCTCTACCTGCAGGGGTCTCATCAGAAGGCGTTCAGGTGACAGGAACCAACTTGAGATTCTGGGTAGCTTCTGTTTGGAGCTTCAGGCTGTGTTTCTGCTGTCATCACTGAGTCCTGGTCCACCCTCCCAGTCAGGGCCTGGGGCACAGTGCGGGCGGGAGCCACATGCCAACTCCAAAGTGCTTATAAGGTATAAATCAAGCTAGCAAAACTGCAAAATGAAATATGTTCCATCCTCCCACATTGACATGTGTACCCGCGTAATGACAAAATTAAAAGAACATGTAAAGTTATGGGTTGTCTGTGATTGAAAGCCAGGAACGAGAAAAAATGACAACTTTAATCATTATTCTGCATGTCTGGATGCTCTATTCCTGGGCCACGACTCTTGTATATAATTTATAGATTGCTATATATCAGTTCCATAAAAATAGTTTTGCTTTTATTCCAACAAAAGGACTACCTATGTTATTTTACACGAGATTTTTATATAGTGAGTACTTTATTGGTAGCATCAGAGTCAAACTTTCTTGAGTCCTTGTCCATCTTACTTTTCAAAATTGTTTCCCTGAACCAGTAGCAACTACATCAGTAAAATTCCTCAAGTGGCGCTTAAACTTGAGGGTGAGCTAAGCATTTTATATACCATGTTCAAACCCAGGAATAGGGTACTGTAAGATGAATGGTCATCATTATGTAACATAGTATAAGATATTATTTTATCGTGTAAGTCTGTCTGACACTCACACGTCCCTCTATGTGTAGACACCCTTAGAACACACTTGTGTCACCTATCTGTGGGGATATGTTCTGAGGAATGTGTTATTCGGCAACTTCATAATTGTGTAAACTTCTTAGGGTGTATTTACAAATCTACATAGTGTGGTCAAGTCACTTGATGTGGCCTCTACAGGCAATCAGAGCACATAGTAAGTAAGAGATACCAGCAGTCTAACATGGTGCTGTTCGACACTAAGCTTTTCTTACAAGTCAGTGTACACCCCAGAGAATGATGAATACTACAGAAAGTGCATCCCTGGGCCTGGTGGAGCACGCCTGTAATCCCAGCACTTGGGAGGCTGAGGCGGGAGGATTGTCGCAAATTCAAGGCCAGCCTCGGCTACAAAGTAAGTTCAAGGCTGGCCTGAACGGCAAAGATGAACCCTTTCTCAAAAAGACAAAACAGATAAGAAAATGCACGAACCAGTAACAGACATTAGTCATCAAGTATCGTGCACATTGCTGTAGACACCATACTTTTATACAATCATCAGCACTGTGCGTCTGCACACCGGTAGTGTCACAAATATGCACCATGCTGCCCTAAGACCTTACGGCAGCAGTGACTGCACAGAGCGCTGGAAGTTTCCCAGCCCCATCACTGTGAGTGAGACTGCTATCACGCATGTAGCGCATCGCATTTGACCATGCATGACTCTGATGGGAATTTGCTTACTTGTGAGTTTTCCAGGGCTGCTCACACAAAGTACCATCAGCTGCGCGGCTAAAACAACAGAAATCTAGTGTCTCGCAGTTCTCACGATTGGAAACTCATGGTCAAGGTGTTGGCAGGGTTGGTTCCTGCTGAGGATGCAGGGAAGGATATCTTTCTTCTTCCGGAGGTTTCCTGGCATTCCTCCTGGCTTGGGGATGCATCATTTCCGTCTTGGCCTTGCTGGTCACAAGGCTTTCTCTGCATGTGTGCGTCTCCCAACAGCCCCTCAGCAGTATTCAACTAGAGTTAGAGCTCAGATCCATGCTTTTGCATGTGGATGTGCAGTTACCCAACACTATTTGTGTTTTGTTGAAAAGACTATTTTTTACCCTTCAAATTATCTTGGCACCTGTAAAACCAACTGATCACAAACATCCGTGTTTATTTCGGGACTGCTGAATCTATTGCACTGATCTGTGCTGTTATCCTTACACCAGCTTCATTCACAGTCTCAGTTACTGTCGGTTTGTAGTAAATTCTGACATTTTCTCTGTGAATTCACCACACCAGTCTTCTACTGGACAAATGGAGCCAGTATAACACTGCATGCATACTTATATGAAGACACTCCTGCAAAGATATCTTATGTGATTGTATAGACTGACAAGCCAAGTCCCAAATCCTCAGCGCTGTTTCAAAATGAGCAGGCCGAGATGCTTGGCCAGTTGCTCATACTGCAGTCCAGAAGTAGATAAGCTCAGTTCTGCTTTAAGACCCTGCAACTGATTAGCTCAGACTCACCCAAATTGTTAAGGAGGCCCTCCTACAACCAGTTGATATAGGTATTAACCATATCTATAAAGTACTTTTGTAGTATTTAACTAACTGGGGACTATGCCAAGTTGACATAAAATATCATTGTCTTTCAGTGCTGTTCTTTTTCTATGAATATATTTCTTTACTTGAGTCCCTTGCACGTCCATATAAATGTTATGTTAGCTTCTCCAGGAAGTCATGTGGGATTTTGATAGAGATGGCATTGAATCTATTGATTGATCTGGGCAATGTTGCCATCTAAACAGTATTAAACCTTCTGATCCATGAACATGGGGTATCTTTCCATTTATTTTAATTTCCTTAAATGCAGTTTTATAGATTTCAGTGTAGAAGTCCTGATCCTTTAAAAGCAATCCTAAGTATTTTATTATTTTTCATACTATTGTAAATGGAATTTTTTTTTATTTCATTTTCAGATTGTTCATTCTACTCTACAGAAGTAGAGTTAATTCTTTTATATTGATCTTATATTCTGGAGCCTGGCTAAACTAGTTCATTAGGTCTAGTAGTTTTTTGTTTTGTTTTATTGTTTTTTTAATAGCTTCCTTAAGATTTTCCATTTACAAGATCATGTCATCAACATGTAAAGACTGATTTTCTTCTTCCTTCTCCATGTAGATGGTGTTTGCTTCCTTTTCTTGCTTATTTTC